AGAAGCTGCTTACTAGGAACTAAGGGTGACAAATACACTAACAGGAAGCAGCAGCTCTCCTGTGACCTGCTCCTTTCTATATGACTCCATTAGAAAAGGATGCAATGTTACCTACAAAGGCTATGACGAGAAGAATTCGAAACCCTGTGAAAAACCACTCTCTGTGGCCATGCAGGCTTCTCAGAATAAACTCCACAACTGTCCGTCCATCTGTCTCCTTGTATGTTTCCATTGTGTGCATGGGTTGTTAGTGGATGTGTGTTGAGAGAAGTGTGTATGGATGGACGCATGGATGGATGGATGGATATATTTGTTTATGTGCCTGTGTGAATACTTCTATGCTCAGTTATAATTAAACAAAGACACACGTGTGCATAACTCACCTTTCATTGATACGTGCCTCCAGGTTCGTGCCTGATAATTCATTTGTGGGTGGACTGGAGGATGATAAAAGAGCACAGTCAGACAGGAGACACAATTCCAAATTCACTTTTCTGGTAAAACTCGTTTTCATTACTCTGCACATAAACCAGTTAAGTTCTGACTATTCATGTGTATAGCACTATTTGGTTCTGAAATGTCATTTTTTATTAGAAAGGAGGATTTATAGGATGGCAATCAACATCTTAGGCTAGGGAAAATCATAATGCTTCCAGATTTAAATAAATCTCTTTGTCATGTCCTCAGTCCCAGTGCCTGACAGCCTGCGTGGTGGCAGTTATTTCAAACTAAACCTTTGTGTGGAGGTAGTCAGCCCTCTTATTCCACTAAATGTGCTGCCTCGAAGGCCCTCCGTTACTCCTTTACTTGATCATCTCTCTTGGTCCACAAGTAGGGTAAAGTAACTGCAGGTCTGAGTCAAGGACACAACCCAGTATGATGGTATTTGGAGTATGGAGTATCACCCTATATTGTGGCAGAGTTCGGCAGGGTCGAAAACATTTCTAGGGTTGTTAGCTTTTTTCTCTTCTCCGGAGGTCTTCACTACTCTCTGTCCCCCGCTATCCTTTTCTGTTTCCAAAGAGGATTCTCTGCTGTCCTCAGCCATTGTAATAAGGTCTCACATATAGGCAGTCTGAAAATTATTTTTGGGCCGGGCACGGTGGCTCAAGCCTGTAATCCCAGCACTTTGGGAGGCCGAGATGGGTGGATCACGAGGTCAGGAGATCGAGACCATCCTGGCTAACACAGTGAAACCCCGTCTCTACTAAGAAATACAAAAAAAACTAGCCGGGCGAGGTGGCAGGCGCCTGTAGTCCCAGCTACTCGGGAGGCTGAGGCAGGAGAATGGCGTGAACCCGGGAGGCGGAGCTTGCAGTGAGCTGAGATCCGGCCACTGCACTCCAGCCTGGGCTACAGAGCGAGACTCCGTCTCAAAAAAAAAAATTATTTTTGATTGTTACTCAGAGTATGAAACAGACTAGTAAGAAAAATCATTCTTCTTATTATGTGGTCATCTTTTCTCTAAATTCATTGAAGAAGCCATAAAGGCACCTTCATTTCCTATAGTGAGATCACGTAGACACATGTAACAGTTTTTTGTTTTTCCGTTAATGTCCTTGAACCTTCCCTAATCTCAACCTGTATATTTCTCTGCAGTACCTGTGGGTACATGCCTTGATTTAATATGAATGCATATAGGTATATGTAAATGGTATATAATTGTTTCCTCCTATGCTCATATATCCTTATATCTATATTGATTGATTTCTGTCTCACAGTTCACCGATAGCTCCATTCCAGGGTACAGATTTGAATTTTTTTTTTTTTTTTTTTTGATACAGAGTCTTGCTCTGTCGCCCAGGCTGGAGGGCAGCGGCCGGATCTCAGCTCACTGCAAGCTCCGCCTCCCGGGTTTACGCCATTCTCCTGCCTCAGCCTCCCGAGTAGCTGGGACTACAGGCGCCTGCCACCTCGCCCGGCTAGTTTTTTTGTATTTTTTAGTAGAGACGGTTTAACCGTATTAGCCAGGATAGTCTCGATCTCCTGACCTCGTGATCCGCCCGTCTTGGCCTCCCAAAGTGCTGGGATTACAGGCTTCAGCCACCATGCCCAGCCTTGATTTGAATTTAGACTTGGCAGTGCTACAGAATTTACATATATATATATATATAGTCCAACACCAGTATGACATCCTAGACTTCACTTTCAGGTTTGAATTACTCACAAGTGATGTTTAGTTGCTACAATTGAATGAAGCACAAAGCAAGCATTTGGGGGTTTACTTTAATTCAAATTCAGCCGCAGTTTCTACATACAAATTCCTTTGACCTCATCTAATTTCCTCATACTAAAATCCCTTCATCAGTGCCCTGTTTTCACCATCACAGGTGTCTTCTCTGCTCTCACACAGGGTCAGGAAACTGCTCCGTATAATGTGGTGATGGGTGTGGGCTTGTGTTGTTAGCCTCACATGGTGGTAGAGCTCTGGGTGTGAGGAACGCTGCCAGGCCATTAGCTCTGCTGTTTTCCCCTCACGGCTCCACTGCTCCCTGCCCACTGCTCCCTGCTCACTGCTCTGCATAGGATTTTCTTCCCTTGGCCCACTCTAGTATGTCTCATATACAGGAAATCTGACTTTCCCAAGTATGTGCCTGCTACTAAGGGTGACAAGACAATAACAAGAAGTTTCCCTTTTTTGACCTGTTCCTTTTATCCAATTTAATCAAAAAGTTGGATGAGGGACCTGCAGGGCCTATAGTGAGATTTACAAACAGTGTAAAAGACATTCTGTATGGCCTTGGATGATCCTGACAGTAAAGCACATAGTCGTCATCTTTCTCTCTGTTGTTTCTCTCTCTCTCTTTTCTCTCTCTCTCTCTCCCTGTGTTTGTGTGTCTAGACAGAAGTATGCATATGTATTTCTTCACATACATAGTTCTTTACATATTTATGTATATATAATTTATAATTCACATTTCATTGGTGGTTGTATCATAGGTTATTGATGTCGATTCATCTGTATGCAGGCTAAAGGAATATAAAAGTAGATAGTTGGACACACATGTAATTCTAAACTTACTTTTTGGAT